TCGTCTTCTTGCGGTCCGTTCAAATTTGTCAATGAAGCTACGCCAAGATACCTTATCATTTTTACCTGAGAATTCAGGCATCTTGGGCATAACTGGGGATTTTGACCTTTTTCTCCCCTTCTTTGGTTTTTTACTAGTCTTCTTATAAGAATTGTCAGATGAAGAGGAGTAGTCTGTAGAACTGTCAGAGTCGGATGTAGGTGGTCGTCTTGGGGATTTCGATTTTTTGTGCCTTACATCAGGTTTTGAGTCATCCTGATCCTGGAAATGAGTCTTTTGCTTAATAAAAGACTCTGCATTGTATGTGTCATTTTCAGGACAACAACTAGTTATAATGGCCAACATACGGTCGATCTCTATTTGTTGTTGTTGTGTGGGAACATCCGGTTGCTGGAAATTCCCACAAGCCAACATATCAACAGAACAGGGATTAGAATAATCCCCATCTGGTTGATTAGGAAATACAGATTTACTGTCCGTATGATGGCCTGGTTCAAATCCTCGGCCCATGTCATAATTTAGATTATTGAAACCGGGTGGGGGTCTGATTCCACTTTCCTTAGGTTGACTTGGTGGCGTATATGCTGGAGGTGTTTGGCTAGGCTCATTTCGAGCTAGCAACATAGCCAATTGCTCGGACAGGGCTTCAAATTTATGATCAATTTTGCTATCTAATCTGCTAATCATTTCCCCCATGTGATGGTCCATTTTGTCCATTCGGACATCTAAATCCCCAATTTTCTTATGTAATAGGTCATTGTCTATTGATATATCTCTGACCTGACGACGTAAGTCAGAGATATCACTATCCTTGGAATGGGTAGAAGATGCGCCCTGAGGTCTATCAATAATTAAGGTTTTACTTGTGATTAGGTCTGACCACACCTCCTCCCTTAAAGCAACAGAGGCCAGATCTTCACAAGTAACCTGTGCTCTGCTTTTTTCAAGGATTTTCCTTAAAGTTAAGAGTTTTTCAGCGGACTTGGGTCCGATACCTTCTAGGGTTGTAAAATCCTGTTTTGAAGCGGTCCAAAAATTAATAGAAAGTTGGTCCGGGGATGCTGAATGAGAGTCCATTGTGAAATGAGTGTACAATATATATATATATATATATATATATGAAAGTATAAAATAACACAAGGTAACCTGAAATTTAAAATTTAACTGATATTATATGAATATTTTTGTACACTCAAGAGTTATGGAGATTACTATAAAAAAAACTAAGTTAAATGTTGATATATATGGGTAACAAAACCCAGCTAAATAGTTGTAAAGGTTAGATAAATATAACCTTAAACTACAAATAAAATTAATTTGTTTACAACAATGTAAACAATAAATCAACAAAGGCTTACAATATTTTTTAAAGAATATTATAAGCACATGGCATATGGGGTTTACCCTTTATAAAACAAAGGCTTATAATATTATGTCAAAGAATATTATAAGCACATGGCATAGGGGGTGGAACCTGTATAAAACAAAGTGCTACAACAACAAAAAAAGGAAAAAAGTTTACTAAGTGCAAACTGAAAATAATTATATAGCGTCAAATTACCTAATAATTAAATAGAAATACCAAAAGAATAGTGTTTCCGATAAAGTGAACACTTAACTTCCAACTTCAGAAGGCACTTTTGAATTCAAAAACAGATGTCCCGTGTCCTGGCTGTAAAGTTAGTGTCAACCCCTGGTTATAACCTTAATTGCTGCACACAACCTATGGGGTCACAATAATTATAACCGTGTAACTAGTCATGACCAGTAGATACTAGATAACCCTTATTAATTGTTTGTTCACTGGGTCAGAAGTCATGCATAATAACCTGATCACATGACTAATTGGCTGCCGATATTGGGCATACATGTTTTACAAACATATCTTGTTTTTTTTTGCAATGATTCAAAGCAAAAAGCTTAACCCAACTTTACCAAAAACACTCACAGTATTGTAATTACATGTATATTATAAATGCTTACTCCGTTTAAATCTGATGATTCATCAACAAAATCTGTTGCATGCTCCCTTGGGGACCTTTGGGCTGCTTCAGAACTTGCCTCAGACTGTAACATTTGAGGTTGTGGGCTTTCACTTGATGTCTGATTAAATGTTTGATGTGGATGATCAAAGACTTGGGACTGTAGTGATGTAGATTGTTGAGATTTTTAATACAGTTGATGGTTGCTGATTGTTCAATAATTGCTGTTGTGTTGATGAGTGAGGTGTTTGAAATTGAAAATCGGATGGAGACTGTTGTTCTTGTAAAAGAGAGGTTGACTGATGCAATTGATGTACAGAAGACGATGGAGTGCATGACCATAGAAATTCTTGTTAGGGACTTTTGACATTTGAAGCCATTGAAGTGTGTGAATATTGCTGCTGTACTGCTGATTATAGTGTCTGATGTTCATTTGGTGCATGTTGGTCAGTATATGTCTGGTCTTGCAAAGGGGTAGTAGATAAATGAGGTTGATTTTCTAATGATTGCATGTTTGTATGACCTATAAAAGGCTTGCTTTGATTTATTTGTTGAGACCTTTCTGAACTGTTCATTTTTTGATATGTATTATTTTGTAAATAAGATTGATAGACAATTGGCGTTGATGGTTCTTGAGCAGCTCTTCTGTAATACTTTGTTAATGTTAATCAGCTGTAGATGGCCATCAGCAGATTTCACCAACTTGACCAATGTGGTCTCATATATGAAATTTTTTATATAAATATAGTAGTTGCCCTTGACGGAAATTAAATATTGGTGGCCATTTGGGATTGAATCAAATAAAGGTGTGAGTAATTGGTGAAGAGTTTGAATAAACAATGAGACAAAGAAAAATAAATGGCTCTCCAAATCTGGCTGTTAGTAGCACCTGATTGGTCATTGCTAATAACAGTCTGCTAATAACAGTAACTTCTGGTCTATTTCTCCAAACCCATAAAATGCCAGAGTCCAGAATATCTTTTACTATAATATCTGACGGTCACGCATTATTCCTTATGACTTGTTTCTGATGATGGCCTTTGAGGTGAACAAATGTTACCTGCTTCTTCGAAACTTAATTTCACCGTTGTTGGCTTGTATACTTTTGTCTTTTCAGATGTTGATTTTTTCCTATGAAATACATGCTCTTTATTTCCACTTTTATTTCAGTATTATATCATACTGTCTATAGCATACAATGTGTTTGTTTAAAATTTAACTTAAATAATCACAAACAACCTCCAATTTCAATTGCAGACATAAGTAATAATTAAATCTAAATCAGCGTATTATCCATCAGTGAAATGATAAGGTCCTGAATCTCTTTCCGTTTTCATCATGTAAAACCACTTCAAATATTTTTTCACCTGGGAGAGATGAGACATTAGTTTGAATCCCTGCTATATTTAAATTACCAAGGTACAATGCCTAAATATAGGTTTCACTGGAAGCGAACTCAAACATGATCTGACCGGATGCGAGCGGTGTTGCCTTTTCCACATTTTTAATGTTTATTTATATCTGTTGGGCCATTACTCCAAAGTTTATTGTAGACAATTTACCATTTTTGCCCTTGAGGACCCCTACCTTGACATTGCTTTAGATACCCTATGGGTCTCTCGCTGATCTATAGGCATGCCTAGGATCCTCGAGAGGTCCAAGTGGTGACGAGATGGCCCTTTAGGGGCCACCTTGTTCAGCATTTCTGCGGACCAGCCGCAAATTTGTATACTCTATATTTAAAATTATAATAAAAAATATATTTAAAATTATAATAAAAAATAAATTGAATAATCTGTATTATTAAGAATGACACACGTAAACAGGTGAACAAACCAAACACTCAATGTAATCAATATGATGGTTTATTTTAATAATTTATATAATTTTGCCACATGGATTATGGACAAATAAATTAATAAATATAAAAGTACTAAAAATTTAAATGAAATTCAAAAGGTTTGAAAATTCGGAGGATGGAAAGGGGTGCATGTCAATGTAGCTACAGTGGGTGGGGAAATCTTCTAGAGTAGTTGTATTGGCTTTTATTGTTTGTTGACTAGCATCTAGAAGGTCTAAGTGGTTGTTCCTGTTGTTCTTAATTTTGAAAAGCAAGTTAAACTTGAAAAAAATTTGGCAATATGTTAGCTTATTTTGACTTTTACCTGTTCACTCATGATATACCCATAGATGGGCATCATTTAATATCACTTAAAGGCAATGGGATGCCATATTTTTTACGAGGGTGTGATTAGTATTCGCTGTTTTATTAATATTAAAAAAGAATTGCAAGCTTCTAGCTGAATAACTTTACTAAAATATCAAGGGTGGACTTAAGGCAGCAATGTTGTTATATTGACACAGAATCTACAGATTTACAAGGCTATGTTCATATTTTAGTTAGAAAACTGTATAAAATGTTTGTATCTAATATAGAATGTTGTAAGGGTACTCTTCACTTTTGAAATTTAATTATATATTTTTCCAGGAAGTAGTTTTCCCAGAATGCCCATTCAGATATTTGAATTTCACATGTATTGATGATGGAAAATAGTATCAATATTGTTGTTGTTTTTTTTATAAGTAGTCAATTCTGTCAAAAACAAAATTTGAACATCTAATTTTTATGTTACAAAATTTGTTTCATATCATTTTTTGATACATAGATACAAGCATTTTATAACAAAGTTGAATGAATGTTTTTTACTTAAATAGCGTAACATAGCCTTGTAAATCACGTGTAAGTTTTTTGTTTTCTTCAGTGAGCCGGATGCATGCCAGTCTCTCAACTCTTCAAGATGGAAGGCTCTTTCTGATTGGTGGACGACTTTCTCCCATGAAGCTTTGCTCTCAAGTAGTGGCAATAGAAATGAATTGTGGGAAGGAAAAAATTAATGAAGGTGAAGGTTTTGTGTGTATGAATTGTGGGAAAAATGATGATAAAAGTGAGAATATGAATAGTATTAAAGAATCAAATAATGGAGCTTGCATTAAGTTAATTAGTGTTGGAAAAATGTGTTTGAATTGTTCCAAAATGAATATTTCTGATAGTAATATTTTTCTGAAGAATTCCATTAGTGAAGGAAAAGAAAATTCTGAAAATAAGGAAAATTTTGCAAAAAGTGAAGAAAAAAATGTGAATTTGAATTCTGAAGCAAAAAATATATCTGTGATAAATGAAGATCATGGGAATTATAAAGATGTGAAAGTCACTGTGATAGAGCAAAAAGGAGACCTGCCTTGTCCAAGATGGAGACACACTGCTGTTGTATATAGTAACAAAGGTAAAAGTTTTTGTTGTTATCTTTAGTTAAAGCCTCTACAAATATTTATGTAAAATTTACGTAAAATATAATAAAAAAAACAAGAGAATCATTGCATTTCAGTTAAAAATTTACAAAATCATTGGGGAAATATCTCTGCATTCCCATAATAGATACAAAGCCGTTATATGCTAATAAGCTTATAGATGGCTATATTTGATGGATCTCAAAACAACCTGTTGAATCATCATGGCACATTTATTTATAATCAAAATCATACTTTTCATCTGACATTTTTACTAATTCTAAATAAGCCAATGTAATACATGTAGTGCCTATGTTATAATAGTGGTGAGAACTGAATCCAGCCTAGCACTTAGTGATGCTAGTGTGATTTACAGAAATGGACAGCACATGTTCATATGAGCCGCGTCACGACAAAACCAACATAGTGCGTTTGCGACCAGCATGGATCCAGACCAGCCTGCGCATCCGCGCAGTCTGATAAGGATCCATGCTGTTCGCTTACAAACCCTATAACAAGTAGAGAAACTGATAGCAAACAGCATGGATCCTGATCAGACTGCACGGATGCGCAGGCTGGTCTGGATCCATGCCGGTCGCAAACCCATTATGTTGGTTTTGTCATGACATGTCTCATATAGTTAACTTTATATGGCACTATGTAGCCAGGTTCTGTAAACTCTAGATTGCCAACAAATTGCTAGAGTGGTGGTGTTTGGATGCTACCTTCAGTTAACCCTATTTAAATAAAACAAAAGACTTTAACATAAAAACTTAATGAATTCAAGAAATTTATTTTATGTATGAATTGTATAGTTTACTATCAGAATTCTATTTATTGAAAGTATGTCTTAACAATTATAGTTTAAATTTACTTCTTAAAAAGTAAATCATATAGATTACAATATTGTTAAAACTGTATATAAGTTCTGAAAGCTATCAAAGCTCTTAAGCTTTGAAGTGAACTGACCTGTCGGCTAGTTCCCAAAACGAGAAATACAGAACATCAATGATCACCCGGTATTTATACACATTTGGTCGTCTTAAAAATGATAACTATGAGATGGTTGGTCAAAATAGCTATTAACAAGTTATAAACTAATTTGAATAACTTTAAGTCACTGAATAATAAAATAGAATTAAACAGATTAAAAGCACCAGTCAAATTAACTCTTACAATTAAAGTAAGGGAAAGATGGCAAAAAGGCATTTAAACAGTAACAACTTACAATTAAATGATTACAACATTTCACACCCTATCACACTTAAATGTCATTCACATTAAGTTTCCCATGAAGGTTGTCCTTTTAGTTTCCTTGAGAAACTACCTTAATACATGTGTGATATGTTTATAGATATAATAAAGTAATAAAATTCATGCATGTTCATAGATATAATAAAGTAATAAAATTCATTCAATGAGTTATTATACAGTATTTTTTATTCTCTTTGTTTACAGAAGAAGAAGCTATTATAGTTTATGGTGGAAGATCTCAAAATGTTCTTGCACTGGGAGATTGTTACAAGTTTCTACCTGATTCAAACGCCTGGATCAAGGTTTGTTGGTTTTTATAATTAGAGCTGCGTCATGACAAAACCAACATAATGGGTTTGCGACATTTGTGCAGTCTGATCAGGATCCATGCTGTTCGCTTTCAGTTTCTCTACTTACTATAGGGTTTGTAAGGGAACAGCATGGATCCTGATCAGACTGCACGGATGCGCATGCTGGTCGCAAACCCATTATGTTGGTTTTGTCATGACATGGCTCAATTATTAGTTTGTTACTAGGCTTCCGATTTGAAGTGATATTCTGAGGTGATATAAAGCAAAAATGAAATATATGCCTTTTGTAACATCAAGGCAACCGCAATAACTTGCCCCTCACGCTGTGGGTTGACACATCCCATCATCCAGTTGGGTTTTGTTTTATATTGTGTCACAACTTTCCAATTTTATCTTGAAAATTTCTAAATACATTTTAGGAAAGATTTAAGCAAAATCTGCCTAGCCTTATTTCATTTTGAAAGAAATAAAATGGGAATGTTTTAACATGTGTATTAAGACTTTAAGTATTGCTAAATTTTAGCTTGACAAATTGAAGAATATGAAGTTTTTGTTTGCTAATGGGTATCTCCAAAACTAATGAAGGAAATTGGTTGAAACTTGACACACTTATCGAGTGCTTTGTTAAAAGCCCATAAATCTAACATGGATTTTGACAGAATTATAGCCTTTTAAGCTCACCTGTCATAAAGTGACAGGGTGAGCTTTTGTGATTGCTTTTCTTCCGTCCGTCGTCCATCCGTCCAGCATCTGTCCGTCCGTCCGTCGTCCGTAAACTTTTACTGTAAATGACATCTCCTCATAAACCAATAAGCCAATTTCATCCAAACATCACAGGAATGTTCCTTTGGTGGTCACCTTTGGAAATTGTTCAAAGAATTTAATTCCATGCAGAACTCTGGTTGCCATGGCAACCAAAAGAAAAAACTTTAAAAAAAATATCTTCTTCTAAAAAACCCAAAGAGCTAAAGCTTAGATATTTGGCATGAAACATCTTCTAGTGAGTGCATGGGTGCAAATTTTCAGGCATATGCCTGAAGTTCAGGTTTTTTGTGACAAATTTCATCATGTTTTACTATTAGATTATGTAGGAAAATGATTATGAATTACATTTTTCAGGTTTTTCCCAATTTTCAACTTGCACCCATGTGAGTGTCTACCAAGTTTGTTCAAATAAAAGCCCTGGGGTCAAAATTGGCCCCGCCCCAGGGGGTCATTGATTTTCCCTATATGCATATAGTAAAAACTTAAAAAATCTTCTTTTAAAGAACCCAAAGAGCTAGAGCTAAGATATTTAGCATAAAATATCTTCTAATGGGTGTCTACCAAGTTTGTTCAAATAAAAGCCCTTGGGTCAAAATTGGCCCTCCCCAGGGGGTCATTGATTTTCCCTATATGCTTATAGTAAAAAAATTAAAAATCTTTTTTTAAAGAACCCAAAGAGCTAGAGCTAAGATGTTTAGCATGAAACATGTTCTAATGGATGTCTACCAAGTTTGCTCAAATAAAAGCCCTGGGGTCAAAATTGGCCCCGCCCCAGGGGTCATTGATTTTCCTTACATGTGTATAGCAAAAACCTAAAAAATCTTTTTTGAAAAAAAACAAATAAATACAGTTTAGATACTAAGCATGAAATATCTTCTAGTGAGTGTCTACCAAGTTTGTTCAAATAAAAGCCCTGGGGTCAAAATTGGCCCTGCTCCAGGGGTCATTTATTTTCCTTAATGTGTATAACAAAAACTTAAAAAATCTTCTTTGAAAAAACTCAAGTAGCTAGAGTTTAGATATAAAGCACGAAGCATCTTCTAATGAGTGTCTACAAAGTTTGTTCAAATAAAAGTCCTGGGGTCAAAATTGGCCCTGCCCCGGGGGACATTGATTTTCCTTATATGTGTATAACAAAAACTTAAAAATCTTATTTGAAAAAACCCGAATAGCTCGAGTTTAGATATTAAGCATGAAACATTTTCTAGTAAGTGTCTACAAAGATAGTTCATATAAAAGCCCTGGGGTCAAAACTGGCCCTGCTCCAGGTGTGTCATTGTTTTTAACTAAATGTGTAAAGAAAAAACTATTAAAAATCTTCTTTTAAAAATTCCAACGAGCTAGAGCTTAGATGTTTAGCATGAAACATCTTCTAATGGGTGTCTACCAAGTTTGTTCAAATAAAAGCCCTGGGGTTTAAACTGGCCCTGCTCCGGGGGCCTATATACAGGTGAGCGACTTCAGGGCCATCATGGCCCTCTTGTTTAACTTAAAGAATTGTACATTATTCAGGCTCTTGTTTTACTATCAAGCACTAAGAATGCAAAGAGCCCTCGACCTGTTTAATTCTAATTATCAGATTAGTGGATTACAATAAGAATTTCACCACAGCATATTTGTTAACAAAAGAACATATGTCGATGTTTGTGGTTTTTCAAATAAAAGATCAAAGTAGGAATCTATCAATAGTCAAGCACACTGTCCTTAGCTGACAGCTCTTGTTTCTTATAACTGTGTTAATAATAAAGCAGTATTAAAGATTTGGGTTGCTCCAAAACAAAGCTTTAAAAAGTCACTGGTGTTGTATTTCATTCATTAATTGGCAGTTACAGTAATTAATAATCATAACCAATTTTACCAGAATTTGGTATAGATATACATCTCGGCCCTTTTCTGTCTTTGATCCCTTTTTGTTCTTTAACTAATAATAAATTATTTTTTTATATTCAGGTGGAGACAACAGGATTGTTGCCAGAGGCACACCAGTCCCATTCTGCTTCTATTTGGAATAACCACATGGTCATTGCAGGGGGTCTCAATAATGACCTTGAACCATTGTCATCTGTTTACCTGCTGAATCTAGACACAAATATGTGGAGTCAATTGAATTGTGAAATAAATCCAAGGTAAACTTTAAGTCATGTCAGCTTAAAATTGTTTTTATGTGGGAGCATGTATATACAAAGTTTATGCTGCAATTGGCCAATACCACAAATGTCAAAAAATATTTGGACATCCTGAAAAATAATGAAATCAAGCATATGTTTTCCATAGAAGATTTTTTTTATGCCACCTCAGCAATCTTCAATTGTAAAGAAACAAAAAAAAATCTGTTCCTACACTACTATTTAGTGTTGTATTAATGCGGTGGCATAGCATTTTTCTCAAATGCAATCTTGTTTTTAAAAGTTACCTTTATTGATGGCGGATTGATAAATTAGACTAAAGTAAGAAAGTAACTGTCATATGTTTTATTTCAGGTATTCCCATACAGCACATGTGATTGACAATGTACTGATTTTGATTGGTGGAGTGAGCTTCTCCCATGATGCACCTGGTATTGCTATGATACATCTCCCATCAGGCATCAGTGCTGAATTTAAACTTCCTGTAAGTTAAATGATTTTGATGTCACATCTTTTCAAGCAGACGAGAAGTATTGGGAAGTGGCTATATCTGCACAGCTAACAATTATTTCATGTTTATTCAATTATTCAAAACAAGTGTTTAAAATATGCATAAACTAATTTATGAGTGTGTTGTAAGTTTTTTGAATTACTTCTTGAATCTATATCGTGGTACACTTTTTCTAACAAACTTGTTATCCAATGTACACTTCATACCAGATTATCAATGTACACATCACTGTACACTTTTCTTACAAGATTGTTATATCTATACACTTTTCTAACAAAATCGTTTTAACTGAACACAGAATGGTTTTCATTTTATACTTTTCTTGCAGGCAGCAGACAAGGAAAACCTGTTGATGTTACACAGACATACAAGTTACATCATGGACGAAAATACAGTTCTGTTGCTAGGGGGAGGTGGCAACTGTTTCTCATTCGGCACACATCTGAACTCTTCACCACTACTCATTGATTTGAGTGAATGTTTTACAACTATAAAACAGACTATAAGTAATAGTGAAATCAAAACATGAAAAAATTGGACAAGATTTGAAACAGATATTAGAACGAGAAAGTTTTTGAAATATCTGCAAAAGGTTTGAAAAGTTCAAAAAAAAAAGTCACTAGGGTGACAGCTCTTGTTTATTACATTTTTGATACTGAACATAAGTTTCAAATTCACATTTTTTTAGGACATGTCAGCAAAAAAAGAACTACTGTAAAATCCCGATTTAACATCCCCGGGGCGTAATATTTTTCAAAATTTGTTTAATAAATTAAATAAATTCTCTCCTTTCTTCAAATGTTTTTAAAAAAATGATTTTCTTTCTCCAAATATGCTGACATGGTTTTAGCTTATTGAATACTGAGTAATCATATTTAAACTGTTTACCAGTTTGAAAAATTGTCAAATTCAAAGTGCTGTTCTGAAAATTGTTGAATACCACTCTTTCCACAGATTTGTATAAAAATTTGTTTCTTGTTGTATAATTATTTTCAATTTGGAACTGTCAATTCAAAACAGGGTAATTGTCAGTACATGACAAGTCTTATATGAAGGTGAATGTGTTTAGATGTACAGGAAACACTGCTAAAGATGCAAAAAATAGATAAAACAACCATTTTTTTTTTATCTTGTGGTGGTGGTAAATCATCATCAGTGGATAGGTCGCTCAAAATAAAGTTCCAATAATTAGTATCTCATTATTTTTTACTTTTGAATGAACTATCATCAGTAAAATGTTATACCATTACGTGAATGTATCTTAAAACAAGTTAGCTTATGTAATAGGGAAATATTGTTGTAATGCATAATTTCTATGAAAAATGTTTTATTATTTTATTTTTTACCAACGAAAATAGGGCCATGTATTCAAAATATTCACTGGCATTACGTAACAAAAAACCGCCTCCGTGGTCGAGGGGTTAGAGTCGATGACTTCTAATCAAAGATGCTTTGGTAGTTTAGCGCGGAGGAAGGTAGTCTAGTACTGGTGTAACTGGTAGTTTAGCGCGGAGGAAGGTAGTCTAGTACTGGTGTAACTCTCCAGGAACGATGGTTAGGAAACTACCCGCCTATATGACTGAAATACTGTTGGGAAAAGGCGTAAAATGAAACAAACAAATGTAACAAAAAACCACTACCGTACTGTATTAGACTACCAACATGTCATACAGACATTATGATAAAAGTTCTTTGTGTACTATATTGTAGAGGAAATTTTGAGACAAAGTATTCTAGTTTTATTGTGGGTTTCCATGTTTTTAGCATACCGCTATCTTGAAAATCTATATAAATAAAAGTAAGTATAAATAATAATAAGAAAATCTAGAGAAATAATTTAACTAACTGGCCAAGTGACACAAGTTAAAACAATCCTTTGTCAGAAACAAAGAGTTATGGTCATACTAAATTTACAAAGGCCATGGAAATATTACAAGTGAAACAGGTTGTACCTTTTAGTTTTTCTTCAAACAAGAAAGAACCCTTTTTTTGCATGATTGACTTTCAAGGTCAAATTTTTGATATTTGGGTAAATTTACTACACTGAGTTGGAATTAATTTCAATGACCTGCTAATTTTTATCCTACCAGAGGTGTCCTACCAAAGTGAGATACAAGCTTGATTCCTTTTCTTCTTTGTATATTTTTTATTTAGAATTTTAAATTCTTGCTTAAATTGTCATGTTATATTAGTCTGTCATTAGAAATATGGTTTAAACTAAATTGTCTGCTACATTTTATGTTTCTTTGAAATAACAGGAAGTAAAAGTGTCATAACTAGTTGTACATTTTCTATGTTTATATTATGATGTTGTTTTATACTTTGGGATTGAGACAACATAATTGTTACCATGTTATTATGTATAAATCTTTATGTGTGTGTTTTTTTGTTTTTTTTTTAATAATCTAACATTTTTAACATTTTACTTCAGGTAAATGATAATGCAGTATTTTTTAGATCATGTCTTTTGTCAATTAGAATAAAAGCAGTGTTTCCATGTATATTAATTCTGATATTCATGTATGTATTTTTAGCTTAGCTAATTGCAAGTTGTCTGCTGATATTTTTCTTAACAAAATCTCTATTTCTTTTAACAACATCTCCTAAACCATAGCTTCAGAGGAATGATCCTCTTCAAAAGTCATATGAATGGCATCAGTAGATCATAACAAGAGCTAAAATAAAATAGCCCTTAAAAATGAATAGTATGTGATAGAGACTTTACTTACATTTAAGTCTTTTTGGTGAAGAACATAGTTACTGGCATGTAGCAATTACTAGGGTATGTCCACAAATAGTTTATAAATTATGTAGCTTGGGTAAAAAATGGTTTGTTCAGTGTTATTAAGTACTTTTGCATCCTTTTCTAGCAGACTGTGTATATCATGTGAGTAATCTAGGGCCATTGTGGCCTTCTTGCTTACTAAATCTTGCAAGAGCTTTTGTTGAAAAGTTTTTCTATCTCATATTTTGTATTATATGAAAATATTAATATTTATCATTCAGTGATGATTTTATGTTACTTTATCCTTGTTTATTTATGCATTTTGTTACTTTAATTTCTGTATTAATTTTGATCATGTGCTTGTTCACAGTTTATAGAATGAAATAAAAGATAATTAATGTAATCATTTTGTCCTTACTTTTTTGCTTCCCTTTTATTATTACATAATAAAAGTTAAGATGAGTGTAGGTCTGGTGGTTAAGGTGTCTGCTCCTCAGCCCAGGTATTATGGGTGCAAGGTGCAAGCACTACACATGTCATTCAATAACCCTGATACTAATTGTGGCACCAGTACTGGTAGTACAGTAACCAGGAAGAAGTATGTCTATCAAAAATTTTGGGAGAAATATTGTTTTTGCCCTCGCCTTCTGTCTGTCAGTTCAGTTGTCCATCCGTCAGCATTAAGCTTGTCTAGCCTTCAAAGTTCAAACTTCTGGTGAGATTTCAACCAAGCTTTACAGGAGTGATCAGTACCATCCCTAGTTGTGCACATAACTGGCACATTCCGCTTCACAGCACAAAATAGCCCAGGATTCGTGCAGTCTTAAAAAGTGCTTAAATTTGAGTCTCTTAAAAAAAAGTGCTTAAAAATGTAAAAAAAGTGCTTAAAAGTCCTTGAATTTGATTACTCTCTTGAAAAGTGCTTAAAAAGTGCCTAAATTTGCTAAAAATGTGCAGAATGACATAGTTTTAATAAAAATCAACCGTAAAGATCAAATTTAGTATCAAAATCAATGAAATGTTTACTCAAGGTAACAGTAAGTGGACAAATTGAAGTTGTTTTGATCTAATCTTTACTTGATGCACCTTAGTTGTTTTTCTATGTCAGAAAATGTGTATTCAACAAAAAATGATGAACAAACTATCCATCATAGGTTGAAGATTGTGTCTGTATATGTGCAACAAATGTGCTTGAAAAATGGGAAAACGTGCTTAAGTAGTGCTTAAAAAGTCCTTGAATTTAGGCATTGGATGTCTGTATGAACCCTGTAGCCGCCTGACCTAGATATAGAGAAATCTTGTCCGGCCTTCACAGGTCAAACTTCTGATGAGATTTCAACCAAACTTAACAGGAATGATCAGTACCATACCTAGTTGTGCACATCACTGGCACCTTACTCTTTGCTGCACAAAATGGCCGCCAGAGGTAAAAATAGAAAAATCTTGTGTCGCCTTCACAGGTCAAACTACTGCTGGGATTTCAACCAAACTGTACAGAAGTGTAGTTGTGCACATCACCAGCATGTTTGGCTTCGCTGCACAAAATGGCTGCCAGAGCTAAAAATAGGAAAATCTTGTCTGGCCTACACAGGTCATATTACTGGTGGGATTTCAATGAAATTTCACATAAGTGACCATACATAGTTTTGGAGAGATATGTTTTTGTGACAAAAAAACCTTCTATAGTTTTTAAATAACTTTCCACAAATGTCAAACTAATCATGATGATGTGTCACGTATAACAGCCTTATCCCATTGTCAAAGGTCAAGGTCACACAGTGTGAAGGTTTCACATTCTTACAAGCAGAGTTTAAAGGTACACACTTTGGTGCCTGGAAGTAACTTTGTCATGCATGGAAGGATCCTTAAGTAACATAGCATATTTGTCTACCACATTGAGATGATGTGTAGTGTCCAAAGGCCCCTGTCCCTACCTCCAAGGTCAAGGTGGTAAGTTCGCTATGAATAGCACTTCATTTCACAGAACAATATTACGCAATTACATGTAGTTTTTCTTTTCATAATACATTTCTGAAATACTTGAGAAACCTTGTTTGGCATACATCATTTATTGCGCGACAGCGCGTTGACTTTTGTATGCCCCCAGCATATAGTAATTGAACCTTCCATCTGTCTGTCCATCTGTCTGCACTACCAAATAGGATTAGAGGGCCATCTAACAGTAAACAGAACAAAAGAGAACAAGAGAGTTTATTCCATAACAACAGAGTAAGGGGCCAATGGCCCTCTATTAAAACAAAAGTAAATAACAGTAGAAATGGTCCTTTATCACGATTCAGTTGCATGTCCGTCTGTTCAAGGTTAACCTAAAACGGCAAGTTGGATTTTGCTTAAGTTCTACCTATACCAATGGCTTTACACACATACTTATTACGAAGAGTACATGATCTGGGAAAGTATCATAACTATGGCTTCCATTTTTGTCACCTCAGCGGAGTAGTGTCAACATATCAGGGATCACTTCTCCGTCATCTGTCTGTCCATCCGTCTGTCACAAAACTTGTCCAGACTACTCCTCAGGGTGCAATTTCTTCCAACCTTTATAGGAATTATAAGTACCAAGTCTAATTGTGCACATTGTCGGGATTTTCTGGTTTGATGATTTTTGTCAGAGTGATGGCCCTTCAATGATTTTTAATTTTGAAGTTTGTCCAGACAACATCTCTTATACCACTGAAAGAGTGATCTGTAGCTCAATACTTGGGCATATTACATGGGTTTTCCGAGCCCTAAAAAAAAGGGTGGGGTTTCTGTTTGTTGCCAGCTACATGTTTTGGACTATTTTTTCAGGCACTAATGGTGCATTTTCATCAAAACTTTACACTATGTCTAATTGTGCATCTCATCAACATTTTTCAATTCAATGATTATTGTCAGAGTAATGTACCTTTAATGATTTTAATTTTTAAAATTTGACTACT